TTGCTGTGTGGTGTGACTCCACTGTCACAGGGACAACCACAGCTTAACTAGGCTTTTCTTATCTTACTGGGAAGAGAGCAATATGGAGCCTACCTATAATGACTCCAATTTTAAAAATTGTAAAATACTTAAATAAACTTATCTATCTATCTTTCTGTCTGTCTATCTATCTACTTATGGGGGGGTGTTACAGTGAATGTGTGGAAGGAAGAGAACAACTTGCAGGAGTTGATTCTCTCTGTCCATCATGTGGGGTCTCAAGGACTGAACTCAGGTCATCAGGCTTTGCCCAAGAACCTTTCCCTACCGAGCTGTCTTTCTGGCCCTACAATGATTTCTTTCTTTTCTTTTTTTTTTTTTTTTTAATTTTCGAGACAGGGTTTCTCTGTAGTTTTTGGTTCCTGTCCTGGAACTAGCTCTTGTAGACCAGGCTGGCCTCGAACTCACAGAGATCCGCCTGCCTCTGCCTCCCGAGTGCTGGGATTAAAGGCATGCGCCACCACCACCCGGCTATGTTTTTTGATTTTTATTTTGTGTTTTTGCCAGTGTCTTAGTGTTCTATTGTTGTGAAGAGACCAAGGCAACTCTTATAGAGAAAGCATTGCTGGGCAGTAGTGATGAACACTTGTAGTCTCAGTACTTGGGAGACAGAGGCAGGTGGATCTCTGAGTACAAGGCTAGCCTGGGCTACAGAGTGAGTCCAGGACAGCAACACAGAGAAACCCTGTCAAAAAAGTGGGGGGGGGGGAGAAAACGTTTAATTGGAATATTGCTTACAGTTTCAGAGGGTTAGTCCATGGTCATCATGTCTGGAAGCAGATAGGCATGGTGCTGTTGCAGTAACCGAGAGCTACATCCTTATCTTTAGGCAACAAGCAAAAAGAGAGAGAGAGATCATCAGACAGACAGACTAGGCCTGTCTAGACATGACTTTTTAAAACATCAAAGCTCACCTCCAGTGACACGTCTCTTCTAACAAGGCCATCCCTTCCAGTCCTCCCAGACAGTTACTAAGGACTCAGCATTCAAACATGTGAGACTGTGGGGGCTATTTTGGTTTAAACTCCCATAGTGGTTCTGTCTGTCTGTTTGTTTTGAAAGAATGAGAAAGAACACAAAATTGGGTGGGTGGGGAGGTTCTGGGAGGAGTTGGGGAAGGGGAAAACATGATCAAAATATATTGTATTAAACTTTTTTGAAGGAGAAAAAGGGAGTGGAGATTAAAGCAGAATTTTCAAGTTCAAAGAAAAGAATGGTCTTTGAGTAAAGAAACTGGAACAGGAGCAACTAGATGTTTAATTAATGGTAATGCTTGCCCAGTGCCTAAAGGATTATCCATGGCTTACTGGAAACTTCAGAGAACTCTCTAACCTATCTGTTACTCCCTTTGGCAGAGTGACGTCAGAATCAAGTTTGAACACAATGGGGAGAGACGGTAAGTTGCTTTCTGATAAGTAGTTGTGTTAATGTATGCTGAAATCCTGAGAAAGCACTGAGCTAAGAAAATACCTCTAGTAATAAGACTTTTTCTTTTTAATTAACTTTTCTTGTTAATATTTTAATTATAATTACTTTTGTGAAAAGTCAAGGTGGAAATTCTCAGAGGAGAAAAAATGTGATTTCACTTAATTTCTCTTCCCATCACAGAGAATTTAGGACCCTGTGTTGTGGATGGCCTCTTTGCACCCAAATGTGCTTCTCAGTGTGGTCACATACACCCCTTTTGCTACTCTCTTCCACACTTGTCTTCCTTTCTCCTTTCTTTTGTGTATTTCCTTAGTTACTTTTCTATTGCCGTGATAAAACACCATGATGGAAGCAATTTATAAAAGAAAGTCTAACTGGACTTACAGTTTCAGAAGGATAGAGTCCATGATAGGGGAGTAAAAGCGTGGCAATAGCAACAACTGAGAGGTGACTAGAAATGGTGGGAGTCTTGAAATTTCAGAGTCCACCCCTCATGACACAGCTCGTCCAAGAAGGCCACACTCCCTAATCCTTCCTGTACAATTTCACCAGTGGTGATCCAATATTCAAACATGAGCCTATAGGAACATTCTTATTCAAACTACCACACAGGAGTAAAGGGCATTTCCATAAGAAGGTTACAGAGCCCTGCTGCAGGTACCTACATTACCTTACTCCTTTTCTGCAGCTGATGTATTGCAGACCACTTTGAAGCCAGCTCCAAAGGAGATGGATAATTGGTGTTGACCCCCGAAAAGACCCATACTCAGAGAAGCGTACAAGGTTGAAAGAGCTTCCTGGTGAAAGTACTGTGGAAACGATAGTCTGCAGAGCCAGGGACCTGCTGCTACTCTGAGCTCTAGGGCTGTTCTAGCCTGGAGGAGGGAGCCTGTCCCCAAATTGTACATCATCTGCCATGCCAGAAGCAAGGAAGTTAAGTTGCCATTTCATGGTTGATACATTTTATTTTTTGACCTAATGTTTTTGAGGAATAACCAAACTTGAGCACCAGAGACTTTTCAGAAGTAGATATGGAATCAAAAGCTCAATTGTGTTGGAGCTTAATTATGCAGTTATGGCCTCTGAATTCCCTGTTCCCAAAGTGGTGTGCAGTTTCCATGAGTAGACTTAAACTGTGAAAGTGTATGTGTTTGATTTCAGAGGAGCTGCCAGATGGAAACCACAAGTATTTAAGGTAGTCAGACAGGAATGGCCTTCTGAAGCCCCTAGCCACAAAATGTTGCTGTCAGGGTTTTGAAAATCTACATTTTTAAAATGGTGTTGTTTTCAGGAACCATGGCATTTCACCGTTTATGTACTATGTGTACAACTGAGGACTTGAAAGAGTTTCTACCAAAGAGTCAAGCTTAAGCTGTGCCAGGGATCTCTAGTTTCATGGATTTCATCTCTTACGATTTTGTGAAGAGGATCATTGTGGACTTTCTTTAGTTTTCACAGTGAAGTAGTACCTTTCCTTTTATTTATTTTTTGATTTTTTAAAACTTTTTTATTCAACTTGGAAAATGAGTATAAATCCCTGGGTGTTTGGTGAGGAGCAAGATAAAATCTGATTGATGGGTAGAAAAGAGGGAGAAGGGGCAAGGTGCACACATCACAGTGACTGCCTCAGATCCCTACCCGCAAAGGAGAGGTTAAGTGGGGTGGGTTCAGCTGAGAACTCACGTCCAGAGGAACACCATGGTGAGGAGGCCTAAGATGTAAGCTGCCACCAGCTCCTGTCCAGAGACGTGCAGAACTTGAGACAGTTGGCTGCCAAACTCACCCTGCAGTGGTGGTTGTAGGAAGGCCACAGAGATGATGCCTGTCATCAAGAAGCAGGAAGGAACTGGTGGTGGCCAGCTGCTGGGGGGCATTCTCCTGAAGGTGTCTGGCTGGGGTTGGTCCACACAGGAGGCCCTGGGCTGGATGTTGGCTCAGAATGTGCCTGAAGCTCCAGGGGGTATGCTAGGGCTCAAAGAGTAGAGGTGATATCTTTTTGGCCAACTTCATGTCCCTCAGCCCCCTCCTCAGGTAGCTAAATTCGGAATCAGTCCTGGATTCATAGTGGTTGGGGATGGTGGCCACATGCCAGATCACAATGTCAGTGCAAGACTGAGGCTTCACATAATCCTTCTCCCTCAAATACTGTGTATTTGGCAGGTGCTATACACAGGACTCGGAAGCAAAGTGAAGTTCCCGTGGGGTTGTAGAGGGTCAGCAGCTGCTGGGGTCCACTCCTTTGGTTCGCCCTGAATACTAGATCTGGGGTAAAGGCGAGCACCAGGACAGTTTGAATCCTGAGGAAGGTGGGGAGTCCTGGGGTCACTGGACCCACCAGCTTCTGGTCCTGGGGCGCCCCATGGTGTATTCTGGGTGGTCAGACATCTGAGAGCAGAGCTCAGAAGTATAAGAGGGCCTTGGAATCTAGGGCTTGTAGTTAAAGTTAACTCCAGTCAACTTGTCTCCAGGCTAAGGGCACCATTTTCCCGAAAGTTCCTTGATGTCCTTCCCTGTCTTTTAATCTTAGGTGTTGTCGGGGTTTCTGTCCTGCCCGGTTCCCACAATCGTTAAGTCTCAAAGAAATCACACAGAGGACTACATTAACTATAAACTGATTGGCCCATTAGCTCAGGTTTCTAATTAACTCTTATAACTATATAGCCCATTATCAGCCCATTATTCTTATCTGTGTTAGCCATGTGGCCCAGTACCTTATTCAGCAGGGCAGTCACATTGTGCTGCTTCTGTGGTCGGGTCAGGATTGCAGAGGAATGGGCTTCCTCCTTCCTAGAAGTCTCCTGTTCTTATTGACCCGCCTCTACTTTCTGTCTGGTTGTCCTGCCTATACTTCCTGCCTGGCTACTGGCCAATCAGCATTTATTAAAATATAATTGACAGAATACAGACCATTCTCCCACATCACTTATGTGTGTGTTGGTGTTTTGCCTACATGTATGTCTCTGCATTACCTTTGTACCTCCGGAAGCCAGAAGAGGGCTCAGGATCCCCTGGAACTGGAGCTAGGATGTTTGCTACTATGTGGGTGGGTGCTGATACACATTGATACACAAAAGAGTTTTATGGAAATGTTGCCCCCTTTTGGCTTTTGCTAAGACCTTAAAAAGAGGAATGTGATTTACCCTTGGGTATTAATGGAGAATTTCTCTCCAAAAGTTAGAGGTAGTACTTCCATCTAGATAGCCCAGTTATATAGCAGCTAGCAGTACTACTGCTTGGGAGGATTGATTTAAGAGCGAAAAAAAAATGCAAGGATTATTATAGTGTAGATAGATTTCCTAGTGGAGACAATTGATATGTCAATGTAATTTCCAGAGGACAGATTATGATTACATTAATATTCTGTCAGAGTTGTTCAACAGAGTTGTAGCTGTCATGAAAGTAGTCTATATCTGCATCATCAATTACAGTGCCTACACCTACATGTGATTATGTGGCTGATGAGACTGAGGAACCATTTGTTTTGATGTATTTTTGTTGTTGAGTTGGTTTGTTTTTTGAGGCAGGGTCTGTCTAGCTATCCTGGAGACCAGGCTGACCTCAAACTCAGATAAGACACCTGCCCCTGCCTCTGAAGAACTGAGATTAAAGGCATACACCATGCCCAGCAAGGAACCAATTTTGAACATATTTTAATTTTAAATTTTAGTGGTCATATGTGGCTAGTGGCTTCCATATTAAATAACAATTCTAAATGAGGAAAGCTTTTATTAGTGCTCATTGATTCGAGCCTCCCTAGCATTGAGGAACATTAAGTTATCTGGTTAGATTGTATTGAAACCTACTGAGTTAGAGCCATCTCCTTTGAGAGTTGTTGCATCTTCTGATTACACCACTTCCTACTCTGCAGGTACAGTTAATATGTGAAAAGCCATCTTCCTGTTAGCATGGAAGAAGGCAAGAAGCATAGAGGCTGTTGTTGAGTACTCCACTACTAGTCTGACTTGCCCTGCCTGGGCATAATGAGAATGCACTAGCTACTCATAGCAATCTGTACATTGTTTTAGCTTTTACTTCTTTCTACTTTGTAGCACAAATTCTATAAGTATTAATAATAAAAACTCAGAGTCAGATATTAGGGGCTGAAAGCTGAGAGATCAGAGAAGCAGTGTGGCCAGCCTCTAGAGAAATCTTTTACCTCCGCCAATGCTCAGGCCAAAGGGACGATCCTGTCCTCAGACTGTCTCCTCCGAATTCATCCTCTGACTACAGGGGGGATCCTCAGACTACAACGGTCTCCACCAAACCTCAGACTACTGAGCTCCTGTCTCCTCCTGCCTTATATTCCTCTCCATCTAGCCATATCACCACTCCTGTCTCCACCTACCTACTGCTGGAATCACCTTTGTGTGAGCTCTATTTCTCTTTTAGATAGATTCAATCTTGTGTAGCCTAGGGTGGCCTTGAACTAACAGAGATCCTCCTGTCTAGGTCTCCTGAGTCTGGGAGAGTCTGGGAGTGTTAGCCACCACTCCCTGGCCTCTGTTGGCTTAACTCTGCACTCTGATCTTCAGGCAAGCTTGAAACATTCCTGGGTTTTGTTTGTTTGGTTTTTGTATTTTGTTTTTTTGTTGTTGCTTTTTGTCTGTCCATGACTCCCCACTCTTTCTCTTTGAGACAGAGTGTTCTTATTTGTAGCTGAAGCTGATCTTGAACTCTTGGATAGCTTCTGCCTCAGCTTCCTTAGTGCTGAGGTTACAGATGTGAGCCATCATATCTGACTTTGTCTTTTTCTTACTGATTTTTTTCCCTTCTTCCCTACTTCCCTCTCCCATTCTCTCCTCTTTCTTTCTTTCTTTCTTTCTTTCTTTCTTTCTTTCTTTCTTTCTTTCTTTCTTTCTCTTCCTTTGTTTTCTCAAGGGAGTGGGAATTGACACAAGATTTCATTGTATAACTCAGGCAGGCATTGACCTAACTGTGTATCCCAGGCCAGCCTAGGACTTGAGTTCCTCCTGCCTCAGCCTCCTTTTTAAAATTTATTTATTTACTTTTATTTTATGTGCATTAGTGTTTTGCCTGCATGTGTCTGTATGAGGATGTCAAAACCCCTAGAACTGGAGTTAGAGACAGTTTTGAGCTGCCGCGTATGGCTGCTGAGAATTGAACCTGACTCCTGGAAGAGCAGCCAGTGCTCTTAACTGCTGATCCCTCTCCATCTGCTGCCTCAACCTTTTAAATGCTGATAGGCATATGCCACCGATCCTAGCTTTAATTTTTTAATTAAATTTTATTTTGTTTTATTTAATTTTATGGGTGTTTTGCCGGCATGTGTGTCTGTATACCACTTGTATTCTTGGTGCCCTTAGAGGCCAGAAGACAGTGTCAGATTCTCTAGAACGGAAGTTATAGACCTGTGTGAGCCATTGTATGAGTAGGTATTAGAAATCAAACCTGCTTCTTCTGGAAGAGTAAATAAGTAGTGCTCTTAACTACAGAGGCATCTCTCTAGCTCCATACCTTCTAAATTTTCAATTTTTTAAACCAATCCCAGCTTTTATTGATTTTTTTTCATTTTTTGTTTAGTTTCATTGATGGTTTATTTTGCCATTAGTGGTTTTTTTTTTTTTTTTTTTTTTTTTTTTTTTTTTTTTTTTTTTGGTTTTTGGGTTGTTTGTTGAGACAAGGTCTCACGACCATTCAGTCCTGGCTGGGTTCTAATTTTCTTTGTAGATCAGGCCCTCTAATTTACAGAGACCTGTAGTGATGAGGCGAGCAGGCCTGCTTTTTGTCCTGCCCGGCTCCCGCATGGCTAGCTTTACACCCGAAATAACAACACGCAAATTGTATTCATTTAAACACTGCTTGGCCCATTAGTTCTAGCCTCTTTTTTTAATATTTATTTATTTATTTAATTATGTATACAATATTCTGTTTGTGTGTATGCCTGCAGGCCAGAAGAGGGCACCAGACCTCATTACAGATGGTTGTGAGCCACCATGTGGTTGCTGGGAATTGAACTCAGGACCTTTGCAAGAGAAGGCAATGCTCTTAACCTCTGAGCCATCTCTCCAGCCCTAGTTCTAGCCTCTTATTGGCTAATTCTCACATCTTGATTAACCCATTTCTGTTTACTCCACCTACCTAATTTTCTGTCCTAGCAAAGTGCCAAGGCAGTCTCTTTATTAACCAATGAAAATAACACATAGACAGAAGGCCCACCTACATCAGAGACCTGCTTGCTATTGCCTTCCAAGTGCTGGTATGTACCACTACTTTGGGCAGGAGTTTAAATTTTTGTTGTTAGGGCAAGTGCTGTATCACTTAGCTTTATCCCCAGTCCAAGAAGACAAATTTGATAGCAAAATTATTTTCTGCACCCCATAGACTTAAAGTATTTGAATGTTTTATTTCTGGTTGGACTGTTGAGGAAGAATTAGGAGGTGTGAGTTGGAGGTGGTGTGCCACTGGGAGTGGGCTTTGAGGTTTCAAAAGCCCACCTAGGACCAGTCTCTGATGCTTGTGGATGAGATAAAAGCTCTCAACTACTGTTCCATCACCATGCCTACCTGCCTGTCCTATCACCATGTGGTCATGGACTCACTTTCTGAAACTGTAAGCAAGCCCCCAGTTAAATGCTTTCTTTTGTAAGTTGTTTGGTTATAGTGTCTCTTCACAGCAATAGAAAAGTAATTAAGACACTTTCTAATTTTTGAATATATGGTTAACCAACATTCTTTCTCTCTTTTAGAATTATAGCATTCGGCCGGCCTGTGAGATATGAAGATGTGGAGCACAAGGTGACAACAGTATTCGGGCAGCCTCTTGATTTACATTACATGAATAATGAGGTGAGAAAGATGGACGGGGAAGGCCCAAGAGGGACAGCCATGTGTATTTTTTCACTTCTTACCTGAAAATTTGTTAGTTCATTTCTTTACTATCACCTGCAGGTTTTCTGTTTCTGGAGCTACTTACTAACTGCAACAACAGGGATTTTTATTCACTAGATGAGAAATTATGTAGCCACTTGCATCTTCCTTATTCAGAAACCTCTTATCCCATGGTGGGATAAGATATGATACCAGAGCCAAGGCTTTCTTTGTTTATATTTTGTAATAGGTTTTTGCTATTATTGTTTTCCTTAGCACAGTCTTAACAAAAGTAGAGATTTCAGCAGGAGCTGAGAAGGTATAAGGAACTATGGGATAGATCATCTATTACATTCAGAAAGGCTAGGTTCTTCCTTCATTATTTAATTCTAAATGTAGCTTGTTTTAAAAGTTAGCATGTAATCCATTGATAAACTATTTATTCTGTTCCTTTCCCCAACAGTCTTTATTTATTCCTGTTCCAAATTTCTACTAGGAATTCTTTTGAATATTACTTTATTTTTCTAGCTCTTAAGAAAGGTTACAGTTGGTTTAGGCTCACAGTTTATATTAGTCTGAAAGGCAATGTATTTATGCTTATGTAATAGAAAACATGTATCTTAAAGGAATAATGTTGGTGACAGTTGACCTGAGTCTGCCATGTACATGCTTTACCCCTGAGCTCTATCCTTAACCCTCTTATAAAAATATAGTTTTATATTTGATAGCAAATTAGAAAATTTCTCTCTAGTAGTTTAGTCCCTAAATTGGTAGCTGTGGAGATGTGTGTATATATGTAACATGAGTGCTGGCTTGTTGGGGTTTCTGTCCTGTCCAGTACCCCACAGCCGGCAAGTCCCAAAGAAAATCACACAGAGATCTCCATAAGTTATAAAACTGATTGGCCCATTGGCTCAGGCTACTTATTAGCTCTTATAGCTTATATTAACCCATTGTTCTTATCTATGTTAGCCACATAGCTTGGTACCTTTCTCAGCTGGGTATATTACATCCAGCTTCTTTGGTGGTCTGTGCAGGAGTGAGAGGAATGGACTTCCTCCTTTTTAGCATTCTCCTGTTCTCATCGCCCCACCTCTCCTTCCTGTCTGGGTGACCCGCCTATACTTCCTGCCTGGCCAATCAGTGTTTTATTAAAATACATGATTGATAGAATACAGACAATTTTCCCGTACCATATATATATTAAAGGATTTTTGGTTTTGTTTTTTAAGATAGTCTGAATATGAAGCCAAGGCTGTCTTTGAACTTAGGACCTTCCTGTTTCTGGCTGTTGTGCACTGGGATTACAGGTGTGCACCCACACCTGCCCTTAGGTGCTGAAGGTTTTGTTTTTTTAGACAAGATTTTGTTAAGTAGCCAATGATGGCCTTAAAATTGAAGTCTTGGTTTTGCTTCTCCTGTACTGACATTACAAGTGACATGCACTACCATACCCAGTGATCTTTAGTTTTTTTTAGTAAATTTTGAAATATGGCAAATTTGGTAAGTAAATCACTAACTATAAAAAATATAGCTGTAAATTATTTGGGGGGGGGGATTGTTGAGACAGGGTTTCTCTGTAGTTTTGGAACCTGTCCTGGAACTTGCTCTTGTAGACCAGGCTGGCCTCAAACTCACAGAGATCCACCTGCCTCTGCCTCCTGAGTAAACTTAAGATATTTTCCATCTAGGATATAAATCTCAATAAAAAGGAGATTGAGTCATTACATGAGAGACTGAGGTTCACATTGTTGAGTTTATCAGCACTGCAGAAACTAGATGACTTGGTACTTTTTCCCCCTCTTTCAGTTATTTTTCCTTTAAGAATTCATTAAGAATCAAGGACTAAACTGAGTGTGGTGGTGCACACCTTTAATTCCTACACTTGGGAGGCAGAGGCAGGCAGATATCTGTGAGTTCAAAGCCAACCTGGTCTACAGAGTGAGTTCCAGGACAGACAGCTACACAGAGAAACCCTGTCTTGAAAAACTAAAAACAGCAACAAAAGGAATCTAGGGCTTGAGTCAGGGCTTGGTTGTCAAACTGCTTGCTTCCCAGGTATGAGGCCCTGAGTTCAGATTCCCCTACACCTAGGCCAGGTGCAAGGAAGGAGAATCCCTGGGGCTTAGTGGCTTGCCAGTCTCGTGAAATCACTGAGCTTAGGCTTTAGAAACTGAAAAATAAGGTGGAAAGCAATTGAAGAAGATTTTACCTTCTACTTCTACCTCAACATATATGTCCAGGTACACCCCAACCACAGCGTGCACATATACACATGCATAGAGGAATTCCAGATCTTTTTCAAACTCTTTCTTTTTTTTTTTTTTTTTTTTTTTTTTTTTTTTTTTTTTTTTTTTTTTTTTTTTTTTGAGGTGTGTTTCCTTATGAAGTTCTGGCTGGTGTGGAATTCACTCTAGAAATTAGGCTGGCTTTGAACTTGTTGGAAATCTTGCTTCTGTCTCCCAAGTCTGCTGCCACCATACCTTGCTCCCCATTCTTGCCAACAAAGTGACTACTCAAAATGTTACTATATATATATTAATTCTAAAGCCATATATCAAGAATTCTTACTGTTACATTAGTACATGTTTTGTGTGTGTGTGTGTGTGTGTGTGTGTGTGTGTGTGTGTTTTGTTTTGTTTTTTAGTTTTTCGAGACAGGGTTTTTCTGTAGCTTTGGAGCCTGACCTGGAACTCACTCTGTAGACCAGGCTCCTCTTAAGCTCACAGAGATCCACCTGCCTCTGCTTCCTGAGTGCTGCGTGCACTACCACCGCCTGGCTAGTTCATGTTCTTTTATATTTAGGTCAGTGATGTGGAGTTGGTCAGTTTGTATTTTGTTAATTTTAAATACGTCAATTCTGCTGGGCATGGTGGCCCATACATTTAAAGCCAACATCCAGGAACAGAGAAGGAGGATCTCGGGGCTGGAGAAATGGCTCAGCGGTTAAGAGCACTGACAGAGGACCCGGGTTCCATTCCCAGCACCCACATGGCAGCTCACAACTGTCTGAAAATCCAGTTCCAGGGGATCTGACACCTTCACACCAATGCACATAAAATAAAGATAAATAAATAATTAAAAAATAAAAAAAAGAACAAACTGTTTAAAAAGAGAGATAAGGAGGATCTCTGTGAGTTCAGGGACAACCTGATCTACATTGGGAGTCCAAGGACAGCCAGGGCTAAATAGAGAGACCCTGTCTCCAAACAAAACAAAACCAACAAACCCTCAATTCCTTTCTTTTCTCCCTTTAAAATCTGCTTGTCAGGATTTTGGACTCCCCAATAAGAAATTAATTATAGTTTAATATACATTTTTGTCATACTAGTTATTGAGGTATAATTCACTTAAAAATCAACCCATTAAAATATCAGATTCATTGGGGTTTACATTGAATTCATAGTTATACAGCCGAAATCACCGGCTAATTTCAAAGCAGTTTCATCTTCTAAAGAAATACTTTAGACCCATTATCTGTCATTCCCCAGTCTCTTCTCTCCCCAGATTTTAGTTGCCACTTAACCTAATTTCTGTATCTTTGGTTTGGCTTATTCTGAATATTTCATATATGTAGAATCATGTACTATAGAGCCTTTTATGCCTTACTCTTCCACTAAGCCTTTGTTTTCATATCGTAGCATATATCAGTGCTTTATTACTCTTTATGGCTGAATAATAAAAATTCAGTTAATATGGATATATACCACTTTATTATTTTTGATTTTTTTCAAGATAGGGTTTCTTTGTGTAGCCTTGGATGTCCCGGGAACTCACTTTCTAGACCAGACTGGCTTCAATTTTATAGATCTGCCTGCTTCTGTCTTCCTGGAGCTGAGATTAAAGGCATGTGTCACCATCACCTAGCTATATATACCACTTTTTATGTATCCATGCATCCAGTTGCTTTCAGTATTTTTATTTATAAGGTTTTATATGAACATGTATTTTCAGTTATTACATATGGCTGGAAATAGAATTGCTAGGTACAGCAAATTTTTAACTTGCCAAGTTTTCTATAATGTTTATACCATTAAACAATCCTATCAACAATGTATGAGAACTGAAATTCTCCACCAATCTTACCATTACTTATTTCCTGCCTCCTTTTTCTCCCTTTTCCCGGTCTCTGCATGCTAGGGAAGCACTCTATCTGTGAGCTATTAACCTGAGTTCTGGGTACAGTGTGCACCAACATATTCCATTCCCTTTTTCTGATAGCCCTTCTAGTACACGTGAAATGCTGTGATATTGTGGTTTTGATAGGCATTTTCCAAATGACTAGTGATGTAGCGCATATTTTCTTGTGCTTATTGGACAATTATCTATTTAAATCCTTTGCTTATTTTAAAAGTGAGTTTTTATTGTTGAATTGTAAAAGTTCTTATATAGTTTATGTTCTACTAGACCCATACACTGGCAAAATTGTCTTTAGTTTTTTTTTTTCTTTTTCTTTTTTTTTGAAGTTAACATGCTTGTTAACTTTTGCTTGAATTTTGTTTTAGCATACACATATACCCCCAAAATGGACTCTCTCTCTTTTACTCTCTGTCTCTTTCTCTATCCATCTGTCTTTCTGTTTCTTTCTTTCCAATATCATGGAGCTCAAGCCGACCTCAAACTTTTGGTTCTCCTGCCTCCATCTCCCAAGGGCTGGGATTATAGGTGTACATCCCTTACGTCTGCTTGATGCAGTGCTGGGGCTTGAATGTAGTGTTTTCTTACATGCTAGGCAAGCACACTGCCAACTGAACTACATCCTACTCCTGTTACTTCTGTTTCTCAGGGAGGAACGTTTGTGTAATATGATATGAATTATAAAACATTCTCCCATCCTATGAATAGTTTTGAGGTTTTTAAATTTAGTACTGATTATTTGTTTATTCCAATTTGGGATTTAGAATTCTTATCTCCTTATAAGTTAGGAACTGAATAAATTAATTGGGCTTTTGCTTGAATTTTGTTTTTAGCATACACAAGTTTTAACATTGCTAGGTACTAGGTAAAGTATACTTTTTCATCTTTAATATTAAGTACTTGGGCTAGGGAGCTGGCTCAGTGGGTACAACACTGGCAGTCTAAGAGCCACTGCAAAAACCAGGCATTGTAGCATATGTCTGTCCCAGTGCTCTTACAGTGAGATTGAAGTCAGAGACAAGAGAATCCCTAGACACTCATAGCAGGTCATCTGTCTAGCTTTTGCAGTGGCAAACAACACAGAGATTGTTCGAAACCAGGTGGAAGGTGAACACTGGGATCTGAGGTTGTCTTCTGACCTCCACACATGCACTGCAATGTCTACACACCCAAACTCGCAAGTCTGTGCATACACATACATCAAACACAGATGCCTTGTACACACAATATTTTTTTTTAATTTTAGTGCTCATAATGTCCTCTTCATGTTACAGTAAGTGGGGGTTATCTGAACACAGAGAGAGAGAGAGAGAGAGAGAGAGAGAGAGAGAGAGAGAGAGAGAGAGGAAGAAGAAGGAGGAGGAGGAGAGGAGAAGAAGTAGTAGAAGAAGAAGAAAAGGAGGAGGAAAGGGAGAAAGGAGAGGAGAGAGAGAATTGAATATGAGCTGTATGATTCCTTATATATTAAAAGTTCAAAAATACAGATCTGTCGAGAGAAAATATGCTGCTGGCTGCCTGGCACTGGTAGTTGGAAGGGGAATGGACTATAAATGGGTAAGTGAGAGCACTATTTTAAGATTGAAAAGAGCTGATGGATGCACAGCTTTGTAAATCTACTTAAGAATTGCTGCATACTGCAAGAAAATAAACCTTATAATTTCAGCAGGATCTCATAAGAAAGTTTTCTCCAAACATATTTTTAGTATTTTGTTTTTGCAAACTAAAGCATTAAAATAGATTTGTATTTTGATTTCCTTTTTCTGTGTCTATTTGTTGTAGCTCTCCATCCTGTTGAAAAACCAAGATGATCTTGATAAAGCAATTGACATTTTGGACAGAAGCTCAAGCATGAAAAGCCTTAGGATACTACTGTTATCCCAAGACAGAAACCATGTAAGTAACCCCTGTCACAGAAAACAAAGCTTATATTCCTTCAGTCTTGCCTTGTTTACTTGACAGGATTTTATGTTTCTTAGCCACTGCCAAAATAAGAGTATGACATTCAGTCCAGCCCTGTAAATGACCAAGTCTTCTACATTTGATTTCCCTGGGAGCCAGATTGTTAGGGTCAGTTACAACAAAGATTATTTTACTAATAGCATGGGGGAGGGGTCAAAAAACATTTCATGATAAAAGAAAAAAATACATGCACAGTCCTTTGATTAGATTTTGATCTAAATAAGAGATATTTGTATAGTATAGGGTTTAGCTATGAGGACTAGTTGTCAAGGATTTGAAACTCCCACAACTCAGTAGCCTTTGAGACATAAATGAGAAATACTTTTACTTCTTTTCGCTGGAAAAAATAGCCATAGACTGGAGGGCTTCTTGCAGTTTGCCAGCTTAAAGTGTTTTACCAAATGTCTGGGAATTATCTCTTACACAATTTCCTCTACTGAATGGTCCCTTGAGGTGTATATTTTGTGAGCATGCTTACAATCTTGACCTGTTTGCCATCATTGAAGATGCATGTTCTGATAGGTTTCTTGGCACTCTTTCTTTTCTTACACTTGAAGACAACTAACTGGAATGGTTATATGAGAATGATGGACATAGCATATCAGAATAGTTTAGGTGGACTGACCCTTATGCTGCCATTTTATTTCATTTTATTTTGTCTTTTTGAGGTAGAGTCTCACTATGTAGCCCTGACTAGTGTAGAACTCAAGAGGTTAGCCTACTTCTGTCTCCTGAGTGCTGGGATTAAAGGCATCATTACACCAGGCTCCATTTATATACTTAGATTTCTTTTATGTGTATAAGTGTTTTGGCTCCTTGAATATAGGTGTGCCATGTACATACATATCTGGAGCATATGGAAGTCAGAATAGGACATGGATTCCTGGAACTGAAATTACGGATAATTGTGAGCTGCCATGTATGCACTTGGAACTGAACCCAGGTCCTCTGCAAAAACAACTGTTGCAGGGAGGCCGCTTGTTTGTTTCCTGGCCGCCCAGACTCCCAAAATAACCACACAGAAACTGTATTAATTAAAGCACTGTTTGGCTCTTTAGCTCTCATTTCTTATTGTCTAACTCTTACATATTAATTTAACCCATCTCTATTAATCTGTGTATTGCCACGTGGCAGTGACTTACCGGGTGAAGTTCTGGAGTCTGTCTCTGGTGGGGCTACATGGCTTCTCTCTTGACTCTTTCTCCTTTCTCTCAGCATTCAGTTTAGTTTTTCCCACCTACCTAAGTTCTACCCTATCAACAGGCCAAGCAGTTTCTTTATTCACCAAAGATATTCACAGCATACAGAAGGGAATCCCACATCAAACAGCAAGTGCTCTTAACTAGTGGACCATTTTCTGAGGTCATATNATCTGGAACTCACTATGAAGACCAGCCTGGCCTTGAACTCAAAGATGTACCTGCTCTATATGTTGAGTGCTGGCATTAAAGGCATGTGCCACTACACTTGGCAAAGAGAGATTTTCTTAATCCCAAATGTATTGTTTGTCTGATATGTTGGGAAAATATTCCAAAGTAGATATATACCATTTTATTTATCCTTCAAGTTCCTCACCTCCTCATAGTCATTCTTACTAGCCTATTAGGTAAGACCTAAGTGAAGCCTAAGGCAGCTAGGGATATATTTTAGTGTTAGAATACTTGCCTAGAATACTGTCTTTGGCATTTTAGCAAGTAGTTTGATTTTACTTATTACAGTTTATCAGCATTCTTGCTGTAACCTTTTTTTTATTATTTCTTACTCCTTCAGTTTGGATGTAGTTTTCATACTAGTTCACATTTTGTTTAGTAATTGATTTTGCATTGCATATTTGTAAATTATATCACAAAAGATTATAAACTCCCTAAGAATAAGAGCTGTATCATTGTTTTGAAACACTTTCCTGCCCTTTATCTTAATAATACATAAGGAGTGCTTTTTTAATATAGTTTATTTGTGTACATGAATACTCCATTTGCATGTATGCCTGCGTGACGGAAGAGGGCATCAGATCCCATTATAGATGGTTGTGAGCTCTTTTGTGTGTGTGTGTGTGTGCACGCGTATGCACTCGCTTGTGTGTACGCGCACACTGGGAATTGAACTTAGGACCTCTGAAAGAGCAGCCAGTTCTCTTAACTGCTGAGCCATCTCTGCAGCCCCCAGGAGTGCTTTTTCAACTCGTCTTAGTTAGGGTTTCTGTTGCTACAGTGAAACACCATTACCAAAACACAAGAGGGTGAGGAAAGGTTTTATTTGGCTTACACTTCCATTTCACAGTCCAACATCGAAAGAAGTGGGAACCTGGAGCAGGAGCTGATGCAGAGGCCATGGAGAGGTGCTGCTTACTGGCTTGCTCCTCATGACTTGCTCAGCCTGCTTTCTTCCAGAATCCAGGCCCACCAGCCAGAGATAACACCACCCACCATGGGCTGAACCCTCCTCTATTAATCACTAATTAAGAAAATGTCTTACAGCTGCATCTTATGAAGGCACTTTTTTCAATTGAGGTTCCCTCCTTTCAGATAATTCTAGTTTATGTCAGGTTGACATAAGATTACCAGCACAAATTGTTAGCAAATGTTGATCACTTTTAGCAAATCCCCCTTCCTTATAAAAGAGACTGAATTAGGGGGCTGGAGAGGTGGCTCAGTGGTTAAGAGCACTGCCTGCCCTTCCAAAGGTTCTGAGTTCAGTTCCCAGCAACCACATGGTGACTCACAACCATCTGTAATGAGATCTGGTTCCCTCTTCTGGCCTTCAGGCATGCATGCAGACAGAATACCAAGAATACTGTATACATAATAAATAAATAGATTTTTTTAAAAAAGAGACTGAATTGGCAATTAGTTGAATTGAGCCTGTGGGGCTCAACCCCTTTGGAGGCTGAATGACCTTTTCTATCTATCTGTCTTTCTTTTTAAAAAAAAATTTATTTATTTATTATGTATACAGCATTTTGCCTGCATGTATGCCTGCACACCAGAAGAGGGCACCAGATTTCATCATAGATGGTTGTGAGCCACCATATGGTTGCTGGGAATTGAACTCAGGACCTCTGGAAGAGCAGCCAGTACTCTTAACCTCTGAGCCATCTCTCCAGCCTCCAACCATCTCTCCAGCCCCCAGGAATGACCCTTTCACAGGGATCACATAAGACCATTGAACAAAACAGATGTTTTGGTTTTTTTTTTAAATATTTATTTATTTATTATATATACAATATTCTTTCTGTGTGTATGCCTGAAGGCCAGAAGAGGGCACCAGACCTCATTGCAGATGGTTGTGAGCCACCACGTGGTTGCTGGGAATTGAACTCAGGAACTTTGGAAGAGCAGCCAGTACTCTTAACCTCTGAGCCATCTCTCCAGCCCCCAAAACAGATGTTTATATTACAATTCATAACAGTATCAAAATTACAGTTGTGAGGTAGCAATGAAAATAATTTTATGGTTGGGGTCACCACGACATGAGGAACTGTTTTAAAGGATCGCAGCATTAGGAAGGTTGAGAACCACTGCTTTAAAGCTACATTTGATAAAGCAAAGCTGGAGGCTGAAGAGGTGGCTCAACCATTAAGATCACTTACTGATCTTCCAGAGGTCCTGAGTTCAATGCCCAATAACCATTTGTAACAGAATCTGATTTCTTCTTCTGGTGTACCTGGAAGACAGAGCACTTAAACCCCACACACTAATAGTGGGAGAGATCAACACTCTACTCTCACCACTGGACAGGTCAGTCAGACAAAAAATGAACAGAGAAATAGGGAGCTAACAGATGTTATGACTCAAATGGACTTAACAGACATCTATAGAATATTTCATCCAAACATAAAAGAATATACCTTCTTCTCAGCACCTCATGGAACCTTCTCAAAAATTGACCACCTACTCGGTAACATAACAAACCTCAGTAGATACAAAAAAAAAATTGGAATAACCCCATGTATCTTATCAGATCACCATGACTTAAAACTAGAATTCAACAGCAATACTAATTCCAGAAAGCCCACAAATACATGGAAATTAAACAGTGCTCACCTGAATCATCAGTGGGTCAAGGAAGTAATAAAGGGAGAAATGAAAGACTTCCTAAAATTCAATAAAAATGACCATACAACATTCCCAAATTTATGGGACACAATGAAAACAGTGTTAAGAGGAAAGTTCATAGCACTAGATGCCTACATAAAGAAGCTGGAAAAATCCCACACTAGCGAGTTAACAGAACATTTGAAAACTTTAGAACAAAAAGAAGCAAACTCACCCAAGAGAACTAGACAGCAGGAAATAATCAAATTGAGAACTAAAATCAACAAAATAGAAATAGAGAAAACAATACAAAGAATCAAAGAGACAAAGAGTTGGTTCTTTGAGAAAATCAACAAAATAGACAAACCTTCTTTTATCTAAACTAACCAAAAGGCACAGAGAGAATATCCAAATTAATAAAATCAGAAATGAAAGGGGGACATAACAACAGACATGTAGAAAATCCAGAGAATCATCAGGTCATACTTCGAAAACCTGTACACCACAAAATTGGAGAACTTAAAGGAAATGGACAACTTTCTGAATAAATATCACTTACCAAAATTAAATCAAGACCAGATAAGCAAATTAAACAGACCTGTAACTGCTGAAGAAATAGAAACAGTCATCAAGAGTCTCCCAACCAAAAAAAGCCCAGGACTAGATGATTTCATCTCAGAATTCTACAAGATTTTCAAAGAAGAACTAATACCAATACTCCTCAAATTATTCCACACAATAGAAACAGAAGGAACATTTCCAAACTCTTTTTATGAGGCTACAATTACCCTGATACCCAAACCACTTAAAGACATTACTAAGAAAGAATTACAGGACCAATCTCACTCATAAACATTGATGCAAAATTACTAAATAAAATACTGGCAATCCAAGAACCAT